TCCCCTCGAGTCTCCCCTCCCCTCCCTCTGTGGAACACCATCTGTGTTTCATTAGAAACTTCTCAGATTAAGAAAATGCCTTTAGAAAAACTCTTCATTCTGCCTAAAGAATGCAGTTTACTTACAACAGCATCCAAATATTGTTATGATACTGCACTTTCCTGTGGACCTCTAATTTCAAGAAATATGCAGAAACATCTAGAAGCAGAAAGAGAAGAAGCAAGAATGTTATTGCCACATGCTGCTCAGAAAAAACACTTGAATTATAGTTGTAGAATCAGTTTCTACAGTGCACGTAATCACTAGGAATAGTTTGTAATTTCTCTGTTTAATTCATCCATTTGTCTTCTGGACAGTAGCTCTTAAAAGTCTGCATTACTGAAAGGTTGGTGGAAATTCAAAATCTCTAAATCTCTTCCTCCACAGACAAAGTTTGAATATCAGATGAGTCTTGAACCCATAAAGCAAACGTGCTGCTCTCCATTAAAACAAGACACCTGCAAAGTTCTTAAGAATGAGCCTTGTGGTGCACGCTTTGGGACTGCGATTGCTGCAGTGAAGGATCTCAACCTGGATGGGTACAATGACATTGTGATAGGCTCTCCCTTAGAAGATGACCATCGGGGAGCTGTTTATATTTATCATGGCCGTGGCAAGGCAATCAGTAAAAAATATTCACAGGTATGAAGTAAATCTCCACAGGTTGATCCAACTGCTCTAATGTATATAATGTTTATAATCCTATCTTCCCAATACTGGATGAGATTGTGACTTGACCAGTTGTAACAGCTTCTCTTTTAAATTGAAATATACTTTTAAACTCGTACTGGTTTAACTGAATCTGAGTCTTAATATTAATGGATATTAAACGATATATCCATGTGTTTTTATTAGAAACCTTCTGACATTTTCTGAACAGCCAGAAAAGCAGATATTTTGCAATCTGAAAATTTATAGTGTGTTCATCACCATAGTAACTGTTTTAGGAGTACTGTAATGAAAATTTAATACAGTTAAAGAGCCTAAACCCCATCTCACTGCCATCAAATGCATCTTGACTGTTACAAAACCCTTCAAAGTGCACTGCATTAACCTCTTTGTGCATTTCACAGCGTATTGCATCAGGTGGAGATGGGGAAAAAGTGAAATTTTTTGGCCAGTCTGTGCACGGAGAAATGGATTTAAACGATGACGGGCTGATTGATGTTACCATCGGAGGCCTTGGTGGGGCTGCCCTCTTCTGGTACGGAGACTCACAGCAAGTCGGGACAGAAAAAAAACTTGTTGGGATACCGGTGTAACTCTCATGCATGACTGTTTGGACTTTGTAAGGTTACTGGTTTCATCTCATGTTTAGACACTGACTGCAAATATTCATCTTCTCACATCTCTCTAGAGGACTAAGCATAAAACTTAATGTATACCGTTAGAAATACTGGAATGTTATAGAACTCTTGCTGGCCTAGAATGAAGAACTTGCCCTCCTAGACCACCTTCAAAATAGAAACTGATTCCACGTGTGGCATTAAGTAAAATAGTAAAAAAACCTGAATTTCTCTCTTTTTCACAATATATTGCATATTATTTTGTTAACAATATCAAGAACAGGTTCAAATGTAAAGGGGTCACTAAGAAAATTGATTTTAGTTCTAAATAGAAAAACTGCAATTTGAGTCCCTACAGAAAATCTGTAAAATTAAACAAAGCCTTCTGCTTAGTTTACAGTTTACAGTAACAGTCAATTAATTTTCTTTATATGAGAGGATTATTCAGATCTAGTAGTGAGCACTATCATTTTTAAGGGAGAAGACAAACAATCTTAAACATAAATCCCTTATTTCTCAAGCACAACTAAAACTATTTCTGTCTCTGGTAAGGAAATGGCCTGCCCAGATCCTTGCTTTCCCTGTCCTGCTGTTTCACCTAGCTCACCTGGTAGGTGATCAAGTTTGTCAAGGCTTCCTAGCATCCTCAAGCTTTTTCTGAACTTCACCTGCTATTTTCTTCGTAAATGTTCCATGTGTAAACACAGTCTGACGCCCTTCACTACATTGTTGAGAGCACAATTCTGAAGAAAGTTTGCCAGCTAAATTTTTTGCTGGTTTCATACACTGACATGCTGCATCTCATGGCCAAAAGGTAACCAATTCAGAACAAGGGATGAGGCAGGAATGCATTGCAGGGGTGAAAAATATTTAAAGTGAAGAAAACTGGGGGCAAATATTAGCCTGTTTGTCTGCTCACAAGCTAAGGGATGGCTTGCAATCCTCCAGCTTACATATAATGTTATGCTCATCTGTGATACTGTCAATGATAGGTCTGGGCCTTCAGTCTCTTTTAAAATGGATCTGTTTCTGTAGAGTTGCTTAAATTCTTTTGGAAATATTTCACCTGATATCTTTTCTGAAGCAAGCACAGCACTGTGGAGAAATCCTGTGATTGTTTCCTCCATAATTCCTCTTTTACTGGTACTAGGTATAGGATATATAATTAATTACTCTTCTAGACCATCATGCTGTTCTTGTTCCAAATTCTTCAGGGGCTTTCCCTCCTGAGTGACAACTAAGCTTTAAAAAATGCTTTAGTGCTTTATAGGCTTTGGCTACTGAGGACATTTCTTTGCCTCTTTTTGTTGCTCACTTTTTGGTTTTCTGTATGATGAGTTCTCTCTGTGATGGCAGTTAGCAGGCATGCAGTAATCTGCCCAAATGAAGAAAGGCAAATGCCGACTGAAAATGTGCCAGAGAAGTGCATTACAACTGCCAGCTGTTTTTGTAGCATCACACAGCAAAGACAGAAGATGTGAAATAATAGATAGCTTCTTAATTGGCACAACATGGCCAACGCTGTGTCTGCTACTGTACTGCAGCATGGTGTCATCAACATATGCCCCAGGAATCTCACTTCAATTGTGGATTTTATGCTTCTGTTATTTTCTTGGAAAATAATAATAAATAATGTTCTTTGGAACATTAAGGATTTTTTTTTCTTTTTAGCTATAAGCTTCTTTACAGTTGGACTCAAATGATCTTAAAGTCTTTTCCAGCCTAAACAATTCAATGAATCTGTGATTCTGTGTCTGTATCTGAATGTTGAATGCTGCATATTTTGTAAGTTCATTCATAGATTTAAAAAAGTTACTGCTCTTATTTCCTTTTTTCTTTAAGAATATAAGAAAATATATTTTCTTATTTCTTTATTTCTTATTATTCTATTTTCTAAGTTCCAAGCACTTTATTTGTGTTTTTTTTAAGGTCTCGTGACGTGGCTGAAGTAAACGTTTCCATGCAATTTATACCTAAAAGCATCAATATTCAACAACAAAATTGTCAGATAAATATAAGAAAAACGATATGCATAGATGCCACAATTTGTTTTAAGACCAGACTAAAGTCAAAAGAAGATATATTTGAATCCAGTAAGTAGATAAGCACTAAGCTATGGAAGCTTTAAGCTATTAAATTCCTATGCTTACATGCACTTAGTAATTAAAAAATGGAATTCAGCTTTTCTAAATTCAGTATTCAAAGTGCATCTGAGATGTTTTGGGAAAAAAGAAGGTGTAGAGACAAAGTGCTTTATAATATGCTTCATAATATTGATCTCAACTTCCTTTGTAGGTCTGCAGTATTGGATTACCCTTGATGCACAAAGACAGATATCTCGAAGCTTGTTCACAGAAAGCCATGAGAGGAAAATGCAAAAAAATATAACTGTCAAAGGATCAGAATGTACAAAACATAACTTCTACATGTTGGCAAGTAAATCATTTAAAATATTTTTTTTCATGCTGACACTAGAGTAACCCAAGTATGTATTCCATTAATTGCAAATCAGACAACAAAATCTGTGTTCAGAATTAATCTTAAGAAGTGTACATAAAATTTGTTTAAAACTTAGTTATTTGTTTATACATGTATTAACAATTTACCTATATGTACAGTCTTTTTAGCTATGTCTCTGTGTCTGTCTTAAGAAAGAGCATACTTCACTTGATGGAGCCAAGCAGCTGTCATGGTTAGTAGTTTAGATGCACTCAAAATTCAGCAGCAGCGTGTGAGAAAATTTCAGTTTGCATATTGGTGCAATTCCCCCTAATAAAATACAGTAAATAAACTTTTAGGTTTCATATAGAGAATATTTATTCAATGCAAAACAGAAGCGTAATTAGCAACTGTGAGTATGAATTTGCCCAGATTGTAGCTAATGGGTGGAGTTAATGGAGTTGCATACTGTAAGCTACTCACATTTGCAATGTTTAATGACCTACACTTGTATCTTAATGCAAAACTAATGGTACATGATACCCAGAATTTTTTTCACCTAACAGCAGACCAAAGTTAGACTTCACAAAAGGTGATGCTGCTGATGCTTATCTTACTGATCCTTTGAGCACAACTAGAAGGGAAAAGTCTGTGAGGCAACAGTTGAGATATTCTTTAATGAAACTCTGTGGGACATGCTCAGGCTATGTGAAATTTTGTGATAAGTTGCACAAAAATCTTTGTAAGTATTTATAAGGAATGCCTGGCACATTGAACTTTTCATCATCAACTGCAAGCATTCAGATGCTTTTTTAGCAAGAATGGCAACAGTGTGACAGAAAAATATTTTACCTCAGCAATTTTTGGGTCTCTTAGATACTAAAGTGAATTTCCCTAAACGTGGTTCTGTTTTCCTTATGTTCTAGGATAAGCCTGATTTTCAGGACTCGGTAAAGGTTTTGCTGGAATTCAATTTTTCTGATCCAGAGAGTGGACCTGTTCTTGATACCAACTTGCCAAATTCAATAGCAGAATATGTAAGTCAGAAAGATTCTGTATCAATAACCAATGTATTTAAGGTAAAAATCATAGCCCACACAAGAGCTGAAACTATTGCCCACAAATTGGCTTGAGAGGAGGAGTCATTGAGCCTGTCCAGGAGATGTTTCCTCCAAATGAGTACTCAGGAACGAAAAGCTTAATTCATTGTGCTTGTGAACCATGCTGGGGTTTCAAAGCTGTCTGTATCTTCTATCTTCATCTGACTGAAGATAGAATAGAGTTACTGACAATTTTACAGTCAGGTTTTAGGTAGATAGGGCAGAGTGTGTTATCCATTTACTTTGGCGGGGCTTGCCATCATTCATACTTCTATTAATGCCTCTTAGAAGACTTCTTTTTTAAACAGAAAGTCTTACATAAAATTAGATAATGCATTAAAATGCAATTATTTGATAATAAATGTAATAAAATTAAGAATAAACATATTATTTTTGCAGATTCCTTTCACAAAAGATTGTGGAGCCAAAAATAAATGCATTTCAGATCTTGTTCTGATTGTGAAAGCAAGCATAGCTGGAGACAGGTAACTACACTGGATGTAATGTATTGCTTGATACCTGTTTCTTGGTGAATTATAAATTCTGCTGGGGCTTCCTTTCTAATTCAGAAACAAGGTAGTCTGGAGACTGAAAGAAGTTTCTCTTTATGTTAAGAACAGATACAATAGTTAGGATGTCCAACATTCTTACTTTATTTTACAGCTCTTCTCCATTCATTGTAAAGTCACGCAACGATAAGTTCACCATCCAGCTCTCTGTGAAGAACAAAAAAGACAGTGCCTATAATACCAGAGTTTTGGTTCAGTATTCTCCAAATATTATTTTTGCTGGCATTGAGGTGGGATTTTTTTTTTTCACATTATATCACGACTATCATAACGTACAATGCTATTATAATAACATATAATGAGGAAGTCTTTTTATTAAATCTTAATTTGACTGCTTGGGCATCATTTCAGCTGTTTGAAAGAGATTTCCCAGGGCTGCTCTTCTTGCTTATGCCTCTAAAGGAGTGTATTTATTTGACATGAGTGGACTTTTGCCTAGCCCTGTCCATAAAATACAGATGCAGATTTCACAATGACACTTAGAAATAGTGCCTGCCTCTTAGACAAACATCAGCATTATGAATCACTTGTCCATCTGTATAGCCAGAAATGCCTTGTTCTTTGTCAGTAGAACTCCATAGCCTCTAGAATTCTCCTTTTGTGCATGTATAGACAAAGCACTGTCATGGTATCAGTGCCTGCATCTATATTACCTCAGACAGCATTTCAAAAGTGGCTGTTTTACCTTCCTGCCTCAGCAGATATGGTATCAATACATCTGAGGTCAGATGGGAAGCATTTAGGGCAGTTTCTTTTCTGTCAGCAGTCCTGATGCTGCACATTAGGAGAAGTCAGGGATCCATAGCACTGTTGCTGGTTCTATGGCAATAATTGGTGGAGTATGAATGTGACTTTGATTGCTACATTAGGAACACATTTACAAAATTTGAAGACTGTGTAATTACACAGTTGATTGCTAGATCCCATGACTAATTTGCATGATGTCCAGTAGGCATATAATTGTGATTGTAAGTCATATAAGTGTTCCAAGCACTGCCATTGGAAAAGCATAATGGCAAGTAATTGGTATAAATGTCCATGGGTGAAAATTGTCTTGCAGAATTTGTGGCTTCATATTTCTGTTCTACTTCAACTAAAGCTTTGACTCTTACAATATATTGGCACTGAAAAGTGGCAGTGGTATATGTGTTTAACAGGTCTGCGATGCTCAGTCAAAATTTAAAAGGAGTTTGCACTAAGCCATGCTTTCAATGTCTTTTTCCCTTCAGGATATACAGAAAGATAGCTGTGAATCTAATCACAACATCACCTGTAAAGTGGGATATCCATTTCTAAAACCTGCAGAAGAGGTAAAAAGTCCCCCTGCATGCAAGTTTTCCTTCCCCCATGTTCTAAATCCAGGGCAGTCCATATCACCTCTGAAGTTCTTTTTGCTTGTCTTCATCCCAAAAACTCTCCATGCATGTTTCCCAAGCTATCCTTGATATCAGCTGCACAGAGCCAGATGGGAAACCATCAGATATTCAGTACTTGGGCAGTCAGATGTGGTATGTGAGGATGTAATAGATGCATATTGCCATCCTTGACACTGTCAGAACGCAAGTGACACACAAGTGGCCCACCTGGCCAGAAATGTCTGTCTTGAGGCTTTCCATGGCCTATAAGTTTACTTATTTTGTACATAAAATGTAATCCCTTGGCTGAAGACAGAACAAGATGTGATGTGGAAGTGCTAACCCAGATCCACTAAAGTCAGGCATCAAGACTTCACCTCTGCTCAGTGGAAATGAGAGGCTTTTCCATCAAGTAGTCCACTTAAAATCAAACTCCATCTTGAACAGTTCCAGTGGTGTCTGTCTCTCTTGTTGGAATGGAGAGGGAGCTTTAGTTTAAGGCTTCAAAAAGACTTATTTAGACCTTGAATTGGAAAATGTCAGTTTGCATGCAAATAAGACAATCTTTCTTGGCAATTCTTGTTTGCGCCTCTGTCATGCACCAGGAGGATCATAAGAGATGTCTTCTTACACTGCCTTCCACACAAACATTCCAGCTTGTGTATTGGACTTGTAGGGACTAAGTCAGCTGTTACCTTCTTGAAGCCAAAGAAGTTTATTGTCCAATGCCTCTCCCCACAGTGTTCCATTCCCAGCTTTACTGGATTTTTCATATTTTCCTTTCATGCTTTGCTTGTTAGTTTGTCTGTAGCTATAAAGCCCTAAATTTAGAAATGTCACACTTTCCTTTGCATTCAGAAAATCTCTGATTCACTGATAAGCATTCCTAATATATTCCTTTCAAAAACTGCTTTTTGTTTTAAAAACTAATATCTAGGACAACTTTCTGTGGACCATTTTGTAATAAAGATTTGTACACCTAAAAGGAAAGATTAAAATTTGAGCTGAAAATTCCATACGGTAACAAATAAGAACACCTTTGCTTCATTTAAAATTAATGAGTGTCAGGATATAAGAACATTTGCGTCAGTGTTCCTAAACTTTGTGTAATTGCAGATTATGATAGATTTGCCCTGATTATAATAACAATGAAATTTTTTTTAATACCTAGCGGTCTCTCCTTTATTTACATTTTAAACATTTATTTTTGGTGTTCTAGGGGTTCTACCATATATGAAGTTATATTCCAGCAGCCTTCTACAGACAGGTCACCTCCACTGCAATAGTCAGGCTTTGAAGCTTTTTTTCCTCCTCATTAGAGGGAAAAAAAAAAGAGGTTTTGATAAATTGACTGTAAGACCAATTGCTTTCAATTAAGAACTATTTAGCCATTTTCTAATACAGTACGTAATTTTTTTCTTGATGTTTGTGAAAACTTGGGGCTCCTGTTTAATAAGTGATAACTATTTGATTTTCTTCTTGGTTGGGGCAAATTCCAGATAGTGGATTCATTCAGATTCATAGAAAACTAGTAAAATATGAGTAAGGATTCCCTAGATAAAAGTAAAAGTTTGTACATGTTTTCATTATATCAATCCCTGTTATGGTAGGCTTTTTTTTTTTTCATTTCAAAATGTGTCATGTATTTCTCTACACAGATTTCCTTCAAAATATCATTCCAATTCAACGCATCGTATCTCCTGGAAAATGCAACTATTCATGTATATGCAACAAGGTTAGTTGTAGTCTTTCCCTTCTGTTGTTTTTTTTTTTTTGAAAGCTCCACGGTTTTGTGTTTCACAGTAAAACACTATGAAACTTCTGGACTCACAAAGAGTTAAATTTTCTGTGAGCTGGTAGCCTTACAGATGTATTCAGTCCAGCAGTGGATTGAGTGGACTAAATAAATAGTTGATACTCTCTACAGCCATAGAGTTACAAGTGAGTGATAATTTCCGGTTGTTTTACCTTCAGCAAAGGTTTATTCTCCTAGAGAATTACTGCATACTTTAGCATGAATCACAGTTAACAAAAAGCTTAGCTTTCAAAGAGTAAGAGCATTGCAGAAGCTGTCCCTGATAGGGTAAAGGAATGCACTTGCCTTCAGTGTTTGCTGTCCCTGCAAAACCAGGGATGGTGTAGCTTTTAACTGATCTGTTTTCATTCAGTCACCTGCTGTCTGTAATTTTTAACAGAGATGCATTTATGATCTGGGGCTGGCACAGGGCTTAAATCATTAGTTATTGGAAAGAGTATTTTTAGTTTATTTTTAGAAGACAATACTTATCTGGAAATGAGTAGCATGCTTTAATCCCCAGAGCTGTAGGTATTTCATTTTCTAAGATCCCTTTCCAGTTGCACTGTCTGCAGCAGTCTGATCTGAGTGACATATGTTGTTTTGTTTCAGTGACAGTGAAGAACCACCTGAGACCCTGAGTGACAACAGAGGACATGTTACAATTCCAGTAAAATATGAAATAGGGCTAATATTTGTAAGGTACTGACACTTCTCTGTACTTCACTTGCTAGCACAGTAAATTGCAGGTGTTCAAAGAATAGTGTTGTTTTTTTTTGAAATGTGCTCAGTATCTACAGACAACAACTTCAAAGCTCATAAAGCAGAAGCACAGGCTTCACTGAAAAGATTAGTCATGGAATAATGGAGCAGTTACTGTCCCTAACTTGATAAAGTTCCGTTTTATCTATTTAAATTTCGTCTGAAGTTTGCAAGTACAGCAGCAACTTTTGCTTGGTTCCTGTATTTTACTATATTCGTTCAAAGTACATAAGAAAGCAAATACTTCCAGCTTCTTGATGGCCATGGATTTGTATCACTATAATATTGCATGGCATGGTGTTTGGTTTCCATCTTCAAAAATTAGCCTTAATTTTTAGGTTCTTGGGCATTTGTTTTTTTTACGTTCAGGCTTATACTTTAATGCAGGTCTTGTAGTACATTTGATTTTCAGAAACAGACAGAATTCAGTTAGATTCCATCCCTGAAAAGCATTCTGTATATTATTGGCAAAAAATATTTTGTGCTGTGCAGGTGTAAATAATTAAGCCAAATTTATTTTGGTTGCATTTCACAGTTCATAAACAGCCTTTGTCCATAGGGAATAAGGCTGAATTTGGAACATGCTGGCTTTGTTCTGTTTATGCTTGATTCTGTCTTTTACAGGATCCTGCCTGTTTCACAATGTCAATGCCCTGGATAAGGGACTGCACAATTAGAATAAGGACAGCAAAATCAGATCCTAATGTATTAATTTTAGAAATAGTATTTTCTTATTTTGTAGTTATATCTGAATAAAATTCATTCTAAATGTATGTGGTAAAAAGTGGGGTCTATTCAGAGAACAGAGCAGTTGAACTTTAATGGATGCAGCAGTGTACTCTTAACTGCAAGACTAGTCCTGAAATTCATGAAATAATGAAAATTCCTATACTATTAACTCTTAGGCATTTTAATGACATTTGTGTGCTGACTTTTTTCCTGTGTTTGTTTTTTTTTTAACCCACAGTGTTTTCAAAGAACACCATATTATAATTGCAGCAAATGATACTGTCCCTACTGCTATTAACACAACAGAGCAGATCGGGGATGAAGTTACTCTGCATTATAGGGTAAGAAACAATTAAAAATGTGTGACATAGGTACTGTCTTAATTTTTTTTTCCATTTGGTTTGAATTACTTAAATACCAGGTATACAATATGTTAAAGCCTCTACATGCATATTTTGTACTTAAAACCCATTTTTTCCTTCCCTCATTTGGAATACAGTGAATTAGAGGGTCAGATGGTCCATCTCCTGCAGAGTAGTTCTGCTGGGTTTTAGCCTTCTATCCTCAGCTGGGAAAAGAGAGCATGCCCTGGTAAATGGACTACCCCTGCTGCAGGTTGGAACAGCCATTTCCAAAATCCAGTCAGGTATACAACAGGCAGATGCCATGCTCCAAGAATGTGGTCTTCCTAGCTGAATGGATCCTGCAAAGTAAAATCACATGGGAAAGATATTTTATGGACTCTGCTCTTCGGAGATCCCTGCTGGACTATTACATCCAGCTCTAGAACACCCAAAATAAGGACATGGACCTTCTGAAGTGGGTCCAGAGGAGGGTCTTAAAGATGATCACAGGGCTGGAGCACCAATCCTGTGAGGACAGTCTGGAACAGTCCAGGCTATTCAACCCAGGGTAGGAGAGAAGCTCTGTGGAGACCACATTGGGACCTTCCAGTACCTACTGGGGGCTTCAAGAGAACAGAAGAAGCTGTTTCGACAAGGACTTGTAATTACAGGACAAGGGGGAATGGCTTTTAATGAAAGGGGAGTAGGTTTAGATTAGATATAAGGGGGGTAGATTTAGATTATTAGTGGTGAGGCACTGGAGAAGTTGTGGATGCCCCATCCCTGGAAGAGTTCAAGGCCAGGTTTGAGCAACCTCTTCTAGTGGAAGGAGGGTGTCCCTACCCATGGCAGGAATTTTAGAAGATCTTTAAGGTCTCTTCCAACCTAAACCAGTCCACAATGCTATGATTCTGTGACTAAAAGCCCAGCTTAAAGTTGCAGCAAAACTGAATTTAGTAATCTTGAGAGTATCCTGTTTCCCAGTGTCAAATCCAAAACTGAACAAGGGTCCCATATAAAAGCATAAAAATCTCTAAATCAGCTTCCATCTGTAAAAAATAGAATATGGTAAAATTATTTACAATGACATAGGATTTTGTATTCTTTTAGGCCGTTGCAGTGTTTTACTCAGCTGTCTTTTCTTTTTGTCTACTGTGGATGTCTAAGGCATTATTCATCTAATTTGCCAATCTTCATTTCTGAGTCAAAAAGCTACTTGATTGCAGAGCATACCATTTATGATCTTGTAAAGTAAAACTCATCTTTGCAAGCAGCTAATCACAAATAAGTAGCCAAGACGAAAAAGTTTAAAAGGTTCTTGAGCATTTACTAAGTGTGTCCACTTCAGAGATGGTATCATAAATTCCCCTGCCAGCAATTCCACCTAGGTGGTTACCCAGTCCTTAGCCACAGCAGGCCTTTGCAGAAAGAGCTGCTGCTTACAGATATGTTCTATTGTCTTCTGAGAAGACAGGTGAGCACAAGAGCAATTACCTAAGCACACCTGAGGAATAACTAGTAGGAGCCACCATTGATACAGTGGCTTCTTGCCCATTGAAGCACTCTTTGCATAACTGTGAAAATGTAAAAATGAACAGAAGAAAATAAAAACACAGGAAAGGAAAAAAAGCTCAAAGTCAAATACTAACAAAATGAGGAATGTGCTAGTCAAAACTTTTTTTTTTTTTTTTAATAGATTGAAAAAGGTGAGCACTTTCCAATGCCAAACCTCACACTGCAGATCTTATTTCCCAATGTAACAGCTGCCAAAAACACTCTTCTCTACCTTACTGCATTGTCACATTCCCAGGTAAGATAGGAATTTCTATTTTTCTGATGAATCTAAATTTGAAATTTATATTGTAAGGAGGGGCAAACTGCAAACATTTGGAATTATTCATTGCTTTTAGTCTAAATAACAAGACGCTGTTGTCTTAAGTGTATGTACAGAGGTGCATAAGAAGACAGAGGGACAAATTTTCATAAAAGGAAACAAGAAGATTTAAAATGATGTTGAACAATAATTGCACTCTAACAAGGCTAGTTTGTTATATTGCAAGTGCTGAGATGTCCAGACTCAGATATGAGCCTCGTATTCTCTTCATTGTCAGCAGCACTTATTGCAAATGCTCAAATCCTGCTGTGTGCATCTAGAGCCCAACCTCCTTCTTTCTGGTGCTGAAATTAACTTTTGTGCATGTCTGCTCTCCACCACTAGCAGTCCTCTGGCTTCTTCCTTCTCTGGGGCACTGAGACATCTTGAAGGGGATGGTAGGTTTTATGTTTCAAATGCTCTTCACTGCAGCCCTCATTTGAGTTTTCCATTTCACTTCTCCAGTGCAACTGGCAGAGATCACAATTCCAACAAATTCCATTATCCTAGATCTGTAGATATTACAGTTAGAGCTATATCAATAACTATATGGCTGAAAAATCTAGATATGACTAAGTGGTGACCTAAACTTTCTTTTTTCTTTTTCTCTTTCACTCAGAGACATGCACATGTGTACCTCCATGCTAACAATTTCACTTAGTTTTGCAGTTTTGCCCAACTGAAAAATATACCAAAATATATGAATGAAAGTTCAAAGTTCACTTTAAAACAAAACAAATATCAAATGAGAAAAAGAGCAAATCATATTTAGAATACAAAAAAAGTCTGTTCTTGATTTCCTTTCCCCATTCTTGTCATTCCTAGTCAATCATCACATTTGATATGTTTAGACATAAACTCAGTAAATCTTGTTTTTTCTAAGATAAATGTCATGTCCCGCAACCTACACCCTAGTGACAGTAGTGTGCCAAAGTGCATTACAGAGTATTTGTAATCTTTTCATGCTAGCAATGTGAAAATCAACAACCTGACTGAAAAAAATCAATTCCCCCACACTGAAGACACCAAAGGATTTCCTAGCTGCCTGTGGAGATCCAGAGGTGCTCTAGCATCTGCTCCCCCTCCCTGGATATTGCAAATGAGGATTCTGCATCCTGCACTTAACCTGCCTGTCTGCTTGCTAGAGTGGAACCTCTGTGGCTTCCCATGCAAAAGCTGTTTAACTGATTTAATAGCCATTGGTAGCAAGCCATTAATAGCTTGCTGGTTCACATAATGGTCATCTTGCAGGAAGCTCTTGTTTGCTTGTACAGATGTTTAAGTAAAATAGGTAGGTTAAATTATGTCATAAATATTTCATATGCTGTTTGAATAATAATACTTTGATACATAGACATCTGAATTTCCTATTCTGCACTCTTGCAATATGCTATTTTATTTTAGTGGTTAGTAAACATTATAATTGTTATTAAATATTAAATATTATTAATGTTGACTTGTTTTCAGATCATTTTTCATAACAGATTTCATATCCAGAATATTAATATATATAAGAATAAGAATAAGAATAAGAATAAGAATAAGAATAAGAATAAGAATAAGAATATAGTATATATATTCACCCCAGACATTAATCCAGATCTTGGAGCTGAGTACTTCTGAAAAAGATGTATAAAAGCTGCTCTGAAACTGTATCATTTAGAAACTCAGTTTGTTTTAATAGCTTAGAAAACCTTTTTTATGTTGACTAGAGTGTGTTTTTTATTTGGCTGCAAAACTCTATGTGGAACTGAATTTAGATAGTTTGGTGTTTCTTTAATTTAAAAAATATGTAGATAGCAGTAGCACATATGACAGCTGAATAAATCGTTACCATCTATGTTTCCATTGTAATTAATAAATAACAATATTTTAAATGCTTATCTCCCTTTCAACTTGTTTAGACTACTAATAGAAAATACATTCAAATGTGACCTGACAGACTTTCCATGCAGCTGTAATTGATGATCCCATTTGGAAACGACTAGCCCTTCACATTTAGAGGAAAGAGTTATAAAGATATTTTGCTGCTGTAGTTATGTTAGCATGTCAGGGGGAAGGTGTCCTCAGCACAGAGATGCAAGTGGAGTTTCTGGTGCAAATGAAATTATGTCATGGGAAGAGTCTTTTGTCGTGGTTATTGCTGTTCTTCACAGAGGTGACAAAGGTCTGGGCTAAGTGTTTCTATTCTTTTATGACATAATCCTGCTGTACTTGCAGCTAGCAAATGATACTAAGTAAAGATATTTGAATTTTCACACACACTTATTGCCCTGCTTGAGAGATTCTTGGTGTCCCAAGATTTAAAAAACACTGCAGAAGAAGCTGTAGAAAAACACTTACTTTTACAAGCTGTGCCTCCCTTAGGAGTTCCGTGATGACTTTTGCTCCATAGATGCAGCAACACAGATTCCTCAGGGCTTGCCAGCCTGCAAAAACTGAGTATGTTCTACCACAGCATGAATATCTCAACCTGTTTTATATACTGCAGTGTCATTTTTGCATTAAAAAACTATAGTAATTAATACCAGTTTATTATTGGTGTCATGGCAAGTGATCCGTATATATAGTAGTTTACATATCTTTATTTTAATGATGTGAAAAGTGTCTTCCTATTACCTCATGCTGGTCCCTTTTAAACAGGACTGTGATACGTACAGCTGTGCCTCTATTAATTGTGCCCTGGTCCCATCTGACGTATATCAAGTGAATGTCTCACTGAGAGTATGGAAACCTACCATCATAAAAGTAAGTAAAGTAAATCCTGTTTGTATTCAGAATATTTTTGTTTTTGAGAAACTTAAGCCAATATTTCAAATCTCTATTCAAATTGTGTCTTTCATTTTTTTAAGTGTCCCTTCTAGTATTTGAAATAGTTTCTTTTGCTGTTTTAAAATTTCCTTAAAACTGCTTGACTGAAAAGCACTTTATTATCCTTAAACTAAGTACCTGTAATTTAGCAGGAGTTTAAAACCATAGTAAGAAGACATCCCTTACTTATTCTGTATTGATGGTCCTTTTTTAATGCTTACTTATGCATCCACAAAGGTTAACCCAGCAGATGAAAGAAGGAGCACATATTTTTTAGGTCTTAATCTGTGAAGATTTCTCAACTCTAGAAAGGATTTTTTTGATTAAAAAAAAAAAAAAAAAAAAAAAAAAAAAAAAAAAAAAAAAAAAAAGAGAGACAGTAGTATTCCAGGACTAATTAATATTTCTTTGAAATCTCTGCAATCTACCCGTTCAAAGCAGTATTGCAGTCTAGGAAGCAATAATGTGTTGATGTGCTGAAGGTGACATACCTTCTTACATACTTTCATGTTTCTCAGCATCCCCCCCAAGCATTAAGATTTTCTTTCACCCTTCTCATTGCTACAAATCTTTCTACTAAAAGTACCTAAACCTAAAAATACCTAAATATAAATACCTAAAAATACCTAACTGTAACCCGCAGTAACTACTCTATTTTTCAGGCCAGTATTCACAGTTTAACCCTTGTTGTGAAAGCATTACTTAGGAGTGAGAACTCATCACTGATTTTGAGAAATGACCATCAGAAACTGGAGGTAAGAACGAGATAATTGATGTATTTGTTCTTCATATAGTTTGTTGTGCTATGGAATCATTCATTTTCATCCATTACTAATGTACTGATTGTTACCTTTAGTAATGCATTATCCCACTCTAAACAAAAGTGATTTCATATTACTGTACAAATGTCAGAATTAGTCAGAAAATAACACCAAAAGTCCAGTACCCACCAATATACCTAGTTAAGGATAAGTTCTAACTGATTTTTTTCTGCTTGCTGTAATAAAAATTCTTCCTGCAGCTATGTAAATTAAAATATAATTAAAATTCTTTTAAGGAATCAGTAGTATTTGAACATTGTCCTGGATCAATTAAAATTGACCATACTTTGTATTTCCTTTAGTATTTCCTTATTTATTCTTTCTTTCCACTTTGTTATCCAGGGTATATATTTGATACAGGATCTTTTATTTTTCAGAAGTTCACTATGATTTTCTTAGATAAGGAAATATATAACATTGTAGTACTGGCATCAGATTTAAAGAGAAACATCTTAAATTTTGTTAGAGGTATTATTCATCCTTTAAATACTCTCAATTTGAAGTATTTATAATGTTTAAACATTGGTCTTTGGTGATAACTTGTACATGGAGGAGACTATTTACTTCAATGTCCATTTTTTTAAGCAAAAGTCTTATTATGAATTCTCACTGTTAAAACTCCAAAATTTAGAAAAGAAATATTCAGTATGAACTACATCTTGCACTCAATATTTTTGAAAATACAAAAACCAGAGGTCTGTTTTTAGCTAGTTTAATGCAGTCCAGGAGTAAAAACACAGCTGAGAGGCTTGCAGATAATGAGACAAGGGATTTCAGATTTACTTTTTTAGGGACATAATTTCCTGCTTAGTGTTCAGTTCTTCAATGCTCTTTTTAACTATAAAGTTGATTTCTAATAAATTCTTAAGTTAATTGAAACTCCTACATGGTCACATTTATTTAAAAGTGAATATTACTTATTTCTGTTCAGTTTATACCAGATATTCTGTGCTTAAAATCAAACTTGTCCACACAGGCTCTAACACTTATGCTTACCTCCATCTTTCAGGGAGGCTGCCACTGAGTGAGAAAGAGTATACTTAGCTTATTCTTCCACTGCTCATGATTTTGGTCCCATGTCCTTTAAAACAATGACTACTGACTTGTAGCAGGGGTCACTCTCATAAATGAATGCACTTAAGAAAGTGAAAGTATTGTGTAAACACAGCCTTTCATGCTGGAGATTATTTTCTTGATTCCCTCCTATTAATTCCTGTAGGTAAAATGAAGTGATACACTGGAATATCACTGCATACTGATCAATCACTGATGCTGTTTTGGTATTTTAGAGGGACAAATTATTTATTGCTTATGTTCTGAACACTTTGCAGACCATGATTAAGATTTCCAAAGAACACCCACCGGGTACAGTCCCCTTATGGGTTATCCTGCTGAGTATCTTTGCCGGACTCTTGATTCTTGCACTGCTTATATTCGCTCTGTGGAAGGTAAGCTGCACCTCCTTATCTTCATTTCTTGATAAATAAATGTTCTTAAGTTCTCCATCATTTCTTTCTCATAACTAGAACCTCACAGACAATAATCCTATATGATAAGTATTGTGAAATCTTGAAAAAATCACAAAATAATTAATTACACTGCATTTTTCTGATGTGGAGCAGAGCAGCCTACCTGATTGGAAACTATATTGCCATTATGTTAAAGAAAGAAAAACAAGACATTTTATTATGAGTAGTGGTTTATTAAGGGACTTTTCTGTCAGCTTTGGTTGTGACCTTTGTCAACTAAGTTTTCTCTGTTGTGCAAGAAATGCTAGGGCCTGG